CACGCACGCACGCTCTCTCTCTCTCTCTCTCTCTCTCTCTCTCTCTCTCTCTCTCTCTCTCTCGCCTTTTCTCATTCCCTTCTTACTCTTACTCCTTTTTGCAATCCTTATCACAATCTTTTTATTTTGTTTTCTCTCCCTCATAAATAATTATTACATGTGCGCATATTAATGTTCATTTTCATTTACTAATTTTAATATAATATTTGAATGAAAACATTGAATAAAAGCAACTTGACGGACAAAACCCTTTACATGCATTAATACATAAAGCCTGAAAAAATCGAAAAATCTGAAATAGTCCTTTTTAGGGACTATTTCGGTTTCACTTCATTTTGACATCTCAGTATTTTGCAATCAATTTTATTCTAATTAGTCGTAATCGAAAAATCGCGCTGTTATTTTATAATGAAAATGTAGATTATTGATTGCGATTTTAATTTCTGAGTAATTTTAATCAAAAGTTTATCGCTGTCAAAACTCCGAATAAAACTAGTGATAATGTTGCGAACTTATCAGATAACAAAATGCCCACAGTGATATCATAGGTTATCCACGCGGCGTGCGCGCATGTCACATGTGTATCTTAATATAACGTATCTTTCTACTTGTGAGATTCACATATCCCGCACGCGTGACATCGCACGCATTCGAGCAATATTAGATTCACATGACCCGCACGAGTGATGTTGCATGCATATGAATATTATATTGCTCGCAGCATGCATAGCAGCAGTAGCGGCTTAGAAACTATAATGTTTGCATCATAAGCGAGAGGGAGGAGGGAAGAGTAAGAAAAATCATTTGACATTATTATTATTACTATAATTATTATTAAAACGAATAAATCTCTTAACGGCATAAACTACAATGCAAGATGTTCGTAGCGAAAATTTTTATATTTTAATCACATAACAATTGGAAAAATAAACGTTTCGATCTTTAATTAAGTCATCTTCAGTACTAAAAAATTACAAATACGAATTATGCATATAATACAATATCGCAAAATAATATAAAAAGTTTTAAATACCGTGTTATAAATTGTAAGAAAAATTTATCAAAATGATAATTTACATAACAAGTATCTTTGCTGAGTTAAATCTTCAAAGAGAAGATAGTCGGATATTATATCGTATAATCTTGGTAAATTGTCTGTTGTTAAAATTCAGTCAAATTAGTTCTATCGCTAGTCCTTTTTGATTATTCACATACATTTCCAGATTCTAATGAAATGAATATAATAAAATTAATGATTCAGAGTTAAGAATTAAGAAAGAACCATAATATCTTATCTATCTTATATATCTTATCTGTGCAATAATTTTTATGAATCCTATCAATATGTGGTGAACTTGTGTTAACGAAAAGAATATCAGAGATTGTATGTTAAAGTCAGATCATGACAGAACAATTTTATAAACAATTTTCGTCGAAAAGGAGAGGATAACTCTGGAGTTAAGTGGAGGATGCTATATTAAAGGAAAATATGCTTCGGATAGGCGTTCTGTATCATTTTGTATGTTAATAGTCTTGGTTTGTTTTTTAATGAATATCATTTCAAACATGAGTCTTTTTTAAAAACATGATTTTGAATCTAATGATGAAATATTCTCCCAAACCGATTCATGTTCATATTCCAACTGATGTTCTGATACTACTGTACATGAGCTTTTGAATCTCTTAATATTCGCTTTATGCTCCTTTATCCAGGTTTTAACTTTCTTTTTAATCTGGCCAACATATGAAACATAACAATGGAGGCAACTTATTTTATATACCACATTACAATGTTTCATTATGTCTAACTTATCCTTACCTAATCTAATGACCGACTTTAACGTGTTCATGAATTTATAAACTACTTTGAAATTATTTTTTTCGGCCACCGGTTTAAAATTTTCTGAAATTTCGTGTAAGATATCATAAAATATTTAGTTATCATAAAATAATTCTTTGGATTATTATTATTCAGAACATTGATGTTTTTGTATTAGTATATAAGTCTTTTCTCTTCGATAATGTTTTTATTCTGCTATTAATTGTGGAAAAGATAAAATCTAAAGGATAGCCATTAAAGAGCAGAACATCGATCATAGATTCAATATTTTTCTTATGATAATCCGGATATGCGAGGAAAAGGATTCTGTCGAGCTACCTAATTATCACTTCTTTTTTGTATTCTATTTGGTTAGATTTGTAATTTAAATAGCATCCCGAATTAGTTCCTATAATTGTTAAATCACATGAGATTCTCAACAATCCTCAAACTAACATCAACAAAATCCATAGTATCTTCATAATTATGCTCAACTGTGAATCTTAGTCTGTCATGATACGAGTTAAACTTGTCTAATATTAGACATTATGATATATTGTAGACCTCGCACATATTTATTTTAAAGGAGATAATATTTATTTTAAAGGATAATATTTATTTTAAAGGAGATAATACGGAGTCTACAATAGAAGTTGTAGTGGTCGTAGAGTCTTAGCTAGTCTTAAGTCGTAGAAAATTGATCAATCAGTCGATTATTCTTCTCATATTCGACTGTGATTGGTTAATTTTTTATGACATAAGGCTACCGCTACGACTTCTATTGTAAATAGACCCCGCAATATATAATATTTTATATGTGATTTATAAAGACTGGTAGATGGAACTATATAATAATAGATAGAACTAATAAAATAGTACTAAAATATTATTTGTTCCCTTCATGTGTTGTCAGATAAGCAGATTAATTGATTTCTGTTTGTTTTTAAATTTTATTTAAAAAACGTTTTTGTAATTTAATGATATTAAAAGATAAAACTGCCCACATAAAAATATATTTCTTGTGATAAAAAATACATTTTTTAATGTGAATCTATTTTAAGGGAACTATAAATAAAATCAGAAGTTTTGCGAAGATATCGATAAATATCGATATAGAGACTAATCTAGTATGATTTTTCCCCAAATACAGATCACAATCCAATATCGAAGTACAATTCAATATCGATATTTTTTTGTATCGATTTTTTCGTACTAACGGGCAGCATGATAATAGCGCGATGTGTGCATGGTGCGATTGTGCTCACACGCATATTCCCATTATGTCGTGCGGGCAAAGTGGCATTTATTTTGTGGGCACGATACGCACGCGCGAGAACAATATGAGCACACATGAATTGTTATCTTATAATAACTGCACGAATATATACGCAGTGACGTTCACTCTTCAAACGGCAATTTTATATTTTTATTTTTTATGCTTGATATTGACGTTACTGAGTCGCTTATATATTTATAACATTTTGACAATCTCATTTCTACGTTAGGTTGCCCTAGATGAAGCGACTGATACATGGGGAATAAAAGTGGAACGAGTCGAAATGTAAGTATATAAATTGCTTATTTTGTAGCAGTAACGACATATTCAATGAAATATAACTTTTTTTTATGGAGAACATAACGTAGAGTATAGCACGCTTCTATGCCGAAAATTCAGAGTTCAAATTTAATCAGCACACAAAAATTTGATTTGATTGCTTTCGGAATATAATGGCAAACCACGGAGAGAATATTTACCGCTACCGTTTAGAGCCAGTTAAAAAAACTCTAAGCTATATACATTAGATAGATATATATCAGGTAGATATATATCGAATAAAACCTAAATTGTCAATCCAATTAATAGTACTTTTAATTCTTCTTCAAGGGTACTCTTATTGAAGATCTTCTTATCCCAATTCAAGTGGCAGCTTTAATTCTCTATCGAAAATTATTATTCCTCGAAGAAAACTAATGTATCAAATGAAAAATTAAAATCCAGATGCTACAGTTTTAACTAATCAAGTTAAATTCTATCAAATTAAAAAGTAAAATCTATCTTTGTTATTTACTTAATGATATGCATCATTTGTATAAAAGATTTGATACGATATCAAGAAAATAACAAGTTAAATTCCACAAAATTTTATATTTCATTCGTAAAAAAGATTTTATATCCATAATTGGCGCCAGTTAAAGTTAAAGAATCCTACAAATTAAGTAAGTAAAGAATACTGTCCAGGTACCAAGATTCTTTTATTTCGATAGGAAGAAGAAATCAGAAGGGAGTCAAGAAAGGACGCAACTGACACCGCTCTTGTGATTATCATTTTGAGACGGGTGCCACAAGTCGGAAGCACTTGATTATGTTCCAAATGTGGATCAACGTCGATATGCGACGCTATCCAATTTGAGATTCATCCAATCGAGCTTCTTTTAAATCAAGGAACTTAATCTTTTTGTCAAAGTATTAAGTTCCTTGAACCTGTACGATTTTTGTCAAGGCGCAGCGCATCAGAAGAGTGCCAAAATAAAATCGGGATTTGATGCGATTCGGTACTTAGACTTTGGATAGATAATTCACCTTTTTATAGATTAATATTAGGTGTACAACTTTGCTTCCGCCGTTTTCTTATAGATGGCTTTAGCGGTAAGTGGTGGTCGAAATAAATAGATCATAGACGTCATACAATAAACTTGGGCATCTGTCAACATAACCCCATAGAAACATTAGTCGATTTGTGTCTGCATCATAAA